CATAGACGTGACATACGTGATAAAGTCCTTGGCAGGAGAAGAGATCTTCTTGTTAGCCAATCCTCGGAAGATCTTGGCCACAACGTGATGCAAGGGCTCTTCGTAGTGAGGTTCCAGCTTCTCCTTGTATTTCTGTTGCAGCTCTTCCTCCTCAAGGTTGAGATCAATGGTAACCTCCTCGTCCTTCTTGAATTGCATCACAACAAATGGATAGCGAGTTTGACCCTGACGAAGAGGTGGGTCGAGACCAATACACAGCATGCAGTGCATTTCGTCTGGCTTGGGAAGGACCATAAACTTCTTAATAGCCTCGTACTGGATCTTGTAATCGTATGTTTTACCACGGAGACGGAATGACGAGTCGTACATGTCGATGTCGAAACGACCTCTGTAAAGGGAGGGTCAGTAGGGTTTTCAGAGCAAGAATTTGGAGGATGAATGCCGTACCTGGGTGTGAGGTGCAGAACGTCGAGGAAGGTAGCAATGGCATCGCCGGCGGTCTCTCCAATCTCGGCTCTCTCCATCAGGGTATCATAAAACAAAGTGGCGGCATTCTTCTCCTCCTCAGCTGCATCACTGGCCGCGTCCTCGCCTTCAGCCTCTTTCTTCGTCGTCGTTCCTGGGATGTAGAATCGCATCTCCACAAGCTGGTCTTTGCCTGCACCCGCCTTCTTTCCTTTGCCTCTAGCACCACCGAGATGGCCATTGGTACCGGTGTCCTCAGCATTCAAAGGTAATGATATCTCGACAGCAACCTCATTTCGGCCCGCTAAGTTTGTGTTTCCAATCTCCGAGTACGGGATCTCGAATGCGGGACGGTTCTGCACGTTGAAAGTGAGCTCGGCCTTGGAAAATTCGGCCTTGCCCCAATTCCAGCCTCTCAGAGCATGTTCTTTGTTTTCTAACGCAGTGCTGTACCAGTTTTTGAAGACTTTGCTTAGACGGTCGTAGTCTTCTTGCTGGAAACCGTCGAGCTGGATTATGGCCGATGAATTACGTTGGAGGATTCGGATTTCGTATCCTTTGGACGCGCGACTCCAGTGGGCGCCGCCGATGTTGCTGTGATCGAGGGTGAAGGTGTCGCCTCCACCGGCAGGCTTCCAGCCAAAACCGGTCTCTGCAAACCTGCACTTCCCGCTCTCCTTGGAGAGATCGAGATAGATGTTGTCGAAGCTCTCACTAGATGATTCGCGACGGTTTAGCTCCAGCTCTCCGTCGTGCGAGGATGGATGTGGCCAGCGACGTCGCGGCCAACACAAAGGAGATGGAATACTTACATCGCAGTCATGATTGATTGATTCTCAGGCGACCGGAAATATTATCAATCACCCTTCCGCAACTCGTGATGGCAGGAGATGGTTGCGTGGTTGGGTTTGGCTGAAAATTGGGGATTGGAGGTTCAAATTTGAGCTTCACGGTTGTCGCGCCAGAAGTCGAGAAACTGCGGCGCGTGTTGACCGTGTTGGCAAAGTGGCAGGTACAGTGGAGAGCTAGTGCTTCTGGTACTGTGTACAAGAGACGCGGCTGATCGTCCCCGTATTTACGTGTACAACACAGGGACAACTACGTACTAGTACAAGCCCATTAATCAGACCCAGAGTCCTTCCGGTCAGCAAGATTTCCGCTACGGGCGCTGCATGTGGCATCGATTGTTCGACTGCCATCATCCACCTTGAATTGCTTGTTGCAGGCGACATCTATATGATAATTTCTTGCTCCCATCTAGGCAGTATCGCATAATCAATACGAGTCATGTGATCGTCTCTCTATCCCTCTATTTCTTTAATTTTACAACTCCAGGCCAGATCTTTCTTTCATTCAAATATCCGCCTCTCCCCACCGACCTTCACGATGGATTCCGAGTCGAAACTGCCTGAACATGTCGACCCGCCCTCATCGAGCGATAGCGATAGCGACAGTTCCGACCATGGCGAGGCTCCAATCAGACAATCGATAGAATGGCTCGCGACCGCGCGAGAGAAACGTTCCACGGCCGGCAATCGAATGAAGGCGATGCTGGCAAACGAGGAGCCCGACTCTGATCTAGAGCTTCTTTTTGCCGAGGACGATGATGATCAAGGCTTCACTGATGTTGGCGACGACGCCTCCGATGTTCACATGGACTCCTCCTCGGACGACGAGGACGAGAACGCAGCTGAAGATGATATGGAGGGCGAGAAGGAGCTGGAGCGCCAGGCTCGGGAGAAGCGCAACGCTCAACGAAAAAGGAAAGCGCAGGAAGCAATTCCCGCCAAGTTCAGAAAAAAGGTGCGCATCGATACGACGACAACACCTTCTCCAGCTCCGTCCTCGGCTTCGGGTCCGGGGCCTCGACCTAAGAAGAAGTCGGAACGCTCATCATGGCTCCCCTCGGCTGCCGACATGCCAACCCGTGCGTCTTCTCGACAGACCACAAGGCTCTCCAAGGAGCAGCTACATGCGCAGATGGAAGAGCGCGAGGCCCGGCGTCTCAAGCAGTTGGCCCAGATGCAGAAGAAGGCAGCCAGGATGGAGGCGTTGAAGAAACCACCAATGACACAAGAAGAGCGGCTTCGCGAGGCTGAGATTGTGGAAAAGAGAAACAGCAAAAGTCTCAATCGCTGGGAGATTGCTGAAAAGCAGAGGGAGGAGGAGAGGAGGGCAAAGCTGGCAGCACTCAATGAGAGGACATTAAAAGGACCTGTCATCACATTCTGGAGCGGCACCAGAGAATGGCAAGACGGCGGAGCGGCAAGATATGTCGTCATGGAAGAAAAGCCAAAGAAGAAGCCCAGAGAAAAGAAGGATAAAACAAAGGGCAAGGGTAATGACAAGGACAAGAAGGAGGTGCCAGAGGAGGATCCTCAGAATGCCGAGAAGGATGTGGAAAAGAAAGAAGCAAACGAGGACAGTAACAAGAACAATGTCGAGCCTAGGGATTCTGCGCCAGCGAAACCGACAGTGGAGGAGGAATCGAAACAAACCTCAGCCCCAAGGCCATCTGAATCCGCAACGCCAGCACCTGAGCAACCGGAATCGGACAACAACAAGACCAGCACAGCTGGAGAAACAGCAGCACCGCAAGAGATAAAAGATTCCTCAACTTTACAAGCTCCACTAGCTACAATACCCACCGGCAACGAAGCTTCATCAGCGGATAGTCTGGCTCCTCCAGCCCTTCAGCCTTCTAGTTCGCTCTCACCACAACCTAGCGAATCAAACCCTGACAATAACCTCAATGCGCCAGTTCTTGCACCTCCCGTGGGAATGGATGTGGACCAATCTTCCCCCTCAAATCCAGGAGCAAATCATTCTACATCTCACATTCTAGCCCCACCAAACACCTCTCAAAACCCACAACCACTTTCAGACCCAGCACCAGCCACTACATCTCCAGGAGACGAGCTGTCGAATAGCAAGCCCGTTGATGCCAAGCCTGCAGACGACAAGCCCTCAGTTGAAAAGCCTAATGAAGAGAAACTCGTGGAAGACACACCTGCGAAAATGGAATCGTCTGAGAAAAAAACAGACCTATCGGCGACGGAGAGTACACCTGAGAACCCCCCTGATATCACGACTCCTTCCGAACAACCCCAGGAGAAGAAAGAAGGCTCGACCTACACTCGAAACGCCATCGTTTATCAAAATTTCGACGATACTGCTCTCAAGGATAAGTCCATCCAAGTCCAAATCCTCTTTGGTCGCAAGATGAACAAATTAGCCAGTATGTTGATATCTATCCCCACCTTCATTTTACTACGATCATCACATGGTCATTGATTCTATATTTGAAACAATGTCGCTGACACATCTCGCCAGAACCTCCTCCTCACCCGCTCTGTGTGATCACAAACCACCCAGCTCGCTACCGTGACCCCAAGACCGGGCTTCCCTTCTATAACGCGCACGCCTATGGTGAAATTCGCCGGCTCGAGCGTGGCGACTACCGATGGAGCAAACTGCTCGGCTCCTGGGTCGGCAGTGGCAAGAATGCTGCTAGCGGCGTGCCGGAGCGGTTCTTGAACCCGAATGCTCCAGGTCCGAAGAAGGAGCCCAAGAACGATTCGCCGCCGCCAGCAAAGAAAGAGGAGGGTCATCCCAAAGAACAAGAAAAGGCCGGCGAAAAGGGAAATGTTGATCAAGAGGCCGTCCCGGCGAACAAGACGGAACAGGCAGTGCCAGAACCTCCATTACAGGATGTCAAGCCACAGCCCGAACAGCAACAAGATCCACCCAACAACCCTAATCCTGTAGAGACCAAGACATAGCTCATGGACACCTTATGTTGGTATGCTACGTTAATATTTTATGACAGGATTGTATTATATGTATGTATGAAGGATAGATACCCTGCTTGCACAGCCCTTTAAGAAATACCATCACACAAGATATCATTGGGAAATAATCGGACGGAAAGTTAAAGTTTTGGAGATGAGGTTTCATGCATTACTACCCAGGACGAATGGCTCCTGGCCAAATCGACCAGTACTAAATCTTCTTCTTCCTCCAAAAAATTAAAAAAAAAAAATCAAAAAATCTAAGAAGAAGCCCAGCTTGCTTCGGTCCAGTTTCCTGGACAAACCCATCCAGCCTCGTGGCCATATCTATGTCATTCTGCCCAGCCCAAAAAATTACATGTGAATCCCTCCTTTTTTTTTCTCTAGATTCCCTTCCATTGTCCTAAGAGAACCACCGATATGCCATGTTCGTCCAGATAAACCCAAAAAAGCCGTGCCTCTCGCTTGCGCTACCATCCGATGGAATGTTTATGTGTCGAGGGTGAAAAAAGTCAAATTTGTTGTAAAACGCCTTGTTCCAATGCAAATCGCTCGTCTTGAAATCTCAATCAAAATGTGAGATGATGATAAATGCCTGGGGTCCTTGCCCCTCAGGTAGGTAATCAAAAAAACAAAGTGGGCTGGAGGGGTGCGAGCCCACGAGAGTAATGTTGGTGTACAATGTCGTAGTTTATGATGTAGGTGAGGGGTGGTTTGGGGTTTGACCCCGTAGATTGCAGACAATCAGTTGTCTTTGGTGCCTACTGCATCGACAATAAGACCCAACTCATTCAGAAAATCATCCAGGCCGGTGTCGACTGGAGAGAGAAGAACCTTCGAAAGAGTATCAGCAGGGCTCAATGGCTCGGCCATGAGGCTTGGAGGGTTGAGGCGCGCACCAGTTGCCTGGAGTTCAAACTTCTTTCGGTTATCACCCTGCTGAGGCAGGCTGTAGCCAGTGAAACGCGATCGAAGGGGAACAGCTTTGCGGCGAACGGACAGCCCAGAAGCTGGGACTTCCTCATCCTCGTCGTTTGAGTCGTCGTAGAAGGTGAGCATCTCCTCATCAGGTGTCAAAGCCGAGAGCGGGGAGGCCATGACACTGGAAGCAGCAGAAGTCAAATCGGTGCTGGGCGCCTGAGTTGGGATCTCAAGCGAGGGCATCTCATTTTCACCAGTGCATACAGCAGTGCCCTTCTCCCTAGTATCTTGACCCCGGCTGGGAGGACACAATGTGGCCAGTGTGAGGGAGCTGAGGTTCTTGGATGTCAAAGGTGCTGACTCGCGAGGAGTCGTCGGGCGCTGTGCTGGAGGCGGTGACAAACCCATGGCAAAGGGAGGGTACTCCGAGATTGCGGATGTTGCGAAGTTATCATCGTCCTCATTCTCCTCTGCAATATCCTCGGGGATAATAAGCGTCGGACGCTCGCTGCGGTTCGATCCAGGTCTGGATGGAGGGTCTTCGGTCAAGAAACGTCGTAGCGACTCTGGGGATATCGAACGATTCCGGCTTCTACTTGAAGAGGCGGCGCTGCGATTATCATCGCAGGCGGTGGATGGTCTCAAGCTGTCCTCGTCGCGATCCAGAGAGCGGCCACGGTCATCGTCTTTTGACTTGTGGTGAAAGAATCGCTTCCAGGCTGGCGAAGGCGAACGTGATCGAGGTGCTGTGTGGCGGAACAGGGCCGGTGCAGTTCGCTTGCGAGCCTCGACACCTTCAGCCATTGACGGGAGCATCATTGGCTGAGGGGGGAGGAACTTCGCGGTCGGATCCATCGTGGTATAGTCGGTGATTCTCATTGAGCTGAGTGATACGCTCCTCTGGCGTAAAGTTTGTTGCGTTGGAACGGTCAATGTGTTGACGGTCTGTCCAGGCATATATGGGCAAGTTGTAGTTGACGGCATACTCTGATCATATGTTTCAGTGGACCCATCCACTTCGTACTGTTGTCAAGCCAAGGATATATATGTCAGTTCAGAGATCAAAGGTCGTATCATGCATGACAATAAGTGGAGGGAGAATGGGGAGGTGAGTTGTCTTATAGAGGGAGGCAGGATGTTATAATCAATGCTTGGTATAGAAGGAGGCTACGCACGTAGTAGTAGTAGGTGTGACCCATCTGCAGGGCCCCATGTCGTGTCTTGTTCAGGTCACCGTTGCAGATGATGTCCCGAAAAAGATGACAGCCTTTCCATTGACCGGGGCCACGGCGATAATCACGCTCCATCGGGTAGTGGGACGAAAAATTGTCCCAAGATCCAACTAGGTCAACGGCTTGGACTTCGGGGTCCGTTTGGCTACAGAGGCACAATCGTCAGCGCAAGGTCAGATTGCCAGGGTGAATTGAGAGCCAGCGACATGCAGGTTAACTGAATGGGGGCAAGGGGGCAAGTTTGACGTGGCCAGGCTGGCTGGGCAACGCAGTGACGGTCACGGTGACAGTCACCACAGCCACTGGCTGGGTTGTGCTGGCTCGTGTTTGATTATGATCAGGGAGACTTGGGTACGAGGCGGGCGCAGTGCTGAGGGTGAAATTCGAGGGAAGGTTCCATCCCATCATGACGGCCATTCCGGGGAACCCTGCGCTCTGAGACGCGCCAATTTCCAAATTTGACCCCGGCAACCTTGCCTGAAGCAGAACATTCAAATTCACGGAGCTGGGGCCATCTCCATGAATCTGAAGATCCTAGGCTGTAAACCGGGTCCCCTCTGATGACGAGCGTCGGAAATGACCGGTCACAACAAAATGACCTGAGGAAGACGCATAGATGCATAGAGAGTGCGGTGTGATAGTGCAGGCAGGCAGGAACGTGAATGACATGGGTAGGTGGATGAGTGTTAGGGGCGTGTTAAGGCTGAGATACGCGTGAATGTGCCCAAGCCAAGGGGTTCAGCCGGTCCATCGCCCAGCCCAACTCGAGCAGGCGTGGATGAAAATAATCCTTCCCGGATTGCATAAATGAGAGAAGAGGAAAAAGCAAACTGTCAGACTAACCAAGGGGAGACTAGAATGCTAGCGAAGAAAAGCACAGGCGGGCAGAGAAAGGTGCGCGTAGAACACGGCGACCGAAGCTCAGGCGCTGCCCGAGTGAGATGCTGAGATGGCGGCCGAGGCTCAATCCTCAGCCCTTTTTTGGGTGTGAGTAGCTTGAGTGACTCTTTTGCCTGGAGGACTTGCTTTGGAAACGAAAAAGCGGGGCTTCAGGTCCCGATGAAACCGAGTAGGATCAAAGGTGATGATGTAAAGGGTGTGTCTCAGCCAGCGAGACCCGTATTGAATGAAAGGGAGCAATAACAAAGGGAAGATAACGAAGGAAGCGGGAGATGTCTCCAACTCACAGTAAGAAGGTAATGAGGGTGGTGGAGGGATCCATCATGGACGATGAGACAGCTGTCTTGCTGCTCATATATGCTTTCTTCTCGGCGGTTCAGATCCAAGACAGCAATGTTCGTGAGAGTGAAACAGAAACTATTCAATCCACACAGGCGCTTAGCAGGTTGGTGGCAGCCAGTCAGATCGGCCAGATCGTCCCTACCTGCGGCTGCAAGTCTCTCGTCGCGTGCGGGAGGTGGATTGGCTGCAGGCTGGCAGATTTGACAGCCAACCTACCTAAGGCGAAAGGGGAATCCAGTGCAGCTCGAGTGGGCCAGATCCAGGCACAGTCCAGGGGCAGGTTCAATTATAGAAACCAGAACTGGCTAGCGGCACAGTCGCAGGGGCTGGCTGTTGCGTTCGCTAGACTGTCGCAAGTCTGTTTGGGCGGCGAGACCTGGCTGTCTCGGGTTGGAGATGCGGCAGCCAATCAATAGCCGGCTGCTCAGGATGCCAAAGCCCGTCGAGAAGCCGTCGGAACAGGAAGGCAGATGGCTCTCAGGATGCCTCTTGTTCCAGAAGCAGCAGGGAGATCAGCGCTTAGCTGCGAGTTGGGCGGCTGCCGGGGTCCAGAGCGGCTTGCGCGAATGCCGCAGGATTCGGATGCGTTGTCGGCTTCCTATTGCCTGGCTGCAACCTTTCCTCGTGTTCTGTCGTAGCAACGCGGCCTGGTGTGGACATGCAGCAGGGAGTCGAGCAGGTAGTTTGCGTGTCGGAGCATGCGCCGGGTCCAGCTCACCAACAGTAGCTTGGTGGTGGGATGTCCTGCCAGCGCGGCGATTGGCCCAGAGCAATATTAGAGCTCTTATTCTAGGGGTGGGATCAGATCAATTTGGGGGTGAGGAGATGAGAGCTGCGGGCGGTCCGGAAAGAACAGAGGACAGCAAATACGGCTGACGATGCTGATGGGACGACAGCGACGGCGACGAAATGCACCAGAGGCAGAGGAAGGGGATTTGAGAAATTGGAAGAGGGAATAATTTCAATCCCAGCTACGGACTATTCCAGGTCCCTAACTTCAAACGACGAATGCCCCAAGAATGGCGAATTTCAGCTGGCTTGAGCCCCTGATGCAGATACCTACGATACACCAGTCTTACTATGGGGAAGGCGGCGAGCCCAGGTACCACCAGGCCGCCTGCAGCGATTGGCCCTCAAGCCTGCGACCGCTAAGCACCAGTTACATCTTAGCCTTCGCTGCACGCGGCCAGAACCCGCGCTTATTGGCTGCCCAGCAGCTGTGCACTGTTTTAATTTGCATTGTAGGGTAAGTGCCTCATTTCGCTTGTTGCCTTGCCAAGCTGAACCGCCGCGAGAGCGACGCCTGAATCCAGCCGCCATGTAATTATACATGCCAGTACGGGTATAAATCGGACGGTATAGTCGACCTATTATTATACCAAATTATCCAATATTATGTAGGCGCTCATTTGCTTTTTCTCATTGTTAGTAAGCGGACCTACTGATATTCGCCCCCATCTATGATCTGACAGTGAGCCCTCAAGTGGTGAAGCAGAAATGAGACTTTCTATGGCGATAAAACTAACAAGGCAGTATTAAATTAACAATGCCTAGTGTATTGTCCTTTAGGCATTTATTATTAGCCCTTAATAATTCGATCGTACCGCTCGCAGGCTCGACAATAAGCACTACAATATTCTGAGTGCCTCAAATTCAATATCAGTTGGCACTTAAGCCATGATCCATGCTGCTGAACTCCAAAGTTCATTCTGGATCGAGAAATGCCACGTTTCTTGTGATGCAAACCTATGTCAAATGATCCTCCTTCCTAATATGCTGCCATTCACCCCAGTTCTCAGGCTCCTACATACACACGTGTGACGATCGATGCGTCGATCAAGGTGTGGCGAGCAGGCAAGGCCCCAGACACCGATGTTCTGTGTTGTCAGCATCACCGTCGTCCAAGCTGCCAGGAACAGGCTGCCACTTCCCCCTGCCGATAGAGTCATCAGCTAACTCCTAGCAGTCTGACCGCCGGGCACTGCCGCAATTAGCCAGTCTTCTACGAAATCCCTTTCCTCGGGCCGCGCGGGAAACCAAGTCTGCAGTGTAGAGTCTCGGCCCCAAGACATCACCGGGAAGAAGTGTTTCGTACGCGCGCCAGGAGGTGAGCGAGTTGTCTCACGTACCATCTCCACTGGACCGCCCGGCCGGTGCACAGGCACAGGCGGTCGCGCGTTGATTCATGCTGTCTACCGTTCTATTTTTGTGGCTGGAGGAGGCCTGTCTCGTAACTTTAGTCTTTCCCTTTTGGCAGGCCCCTTCGTCACCACCACAGAACACGAAGTCTCGAACGGCAGGGGAAACTGGGCAGGCCGGCCAGCCAACACGTGCGATTTCTTCATTAAGGGCTCCGCTTCAATGCATACATGCACGATCTCCCCATGCCCCTGACGCGAGAGATGACTCAATCTGTTGCTTCTTATTTTATTCTTGCGGGGGATGACCTTGGATTCCGGCACTTTGACCTCGAATCTACGTACCCGCGCGCGGCTTGATCATAGAGAGACACTTGGAGACGGAGTGATTTATGAGCCCGAAAGGCTCAGTCAACCGTCATAAAACCTGTTTGATCTAGATCGCCCATTGATCTGAACCCCTACGGATGTTTCATGCTACGGTTTTATTTCCCCCTTGTCTGTCACCAATCCCATCCAGACGTTCAATCAGGGCGCAGTGACTCTCAGACTTCTGAAGACTATGACGTCTTAAGTGAGGCTTGCGAAGGGGTTCATAAGACTAGGACTCGGTGAGCTGTCAAGGAGCAATCCGAAACGATGGCCCTGTTCACATTTATAAAACAGAGCGGTCTGTTTCAGTTCAAGTGCTACCCTGGAGCAATCTGGATAGTTGAGGATCAGTGCCAAAGACAAAGAAGTGATTGCATAGGCCAGAGTGACTGTACACGCTTATGTATTTGTACACTTAGTATACATTACATGGCAAGCTGAGTGAAGGGCGGTTATCCGAGCCGTGATGTAGCAGTATCTGGGTGTTGGTCTCTTAGGAATTGGTGAGTTGGGAATATTAAACCTGTATACTTGAGGCTACAGGGTACGCAAACGATAGTAAACTGAGTGGAATCGGTCAGCACTGCAACAACCAATTTGTTCGCGCAAGAGAGATTCTCAACTGCGAATTCATGAGAAGAGAGGTAGTTTTACCAATCAGTTTATTCGCATCATTAGATACCAGGACCCAAGTCTCCTGCTACGTAATATCCACAACTGCTTCGCAAGACTCAGCCACAACGATTCATTCTTTTGATTACCCAATTAGTCTTGAACAGAGGCAGTAACCCGAACAGATACACATCAACACAAGAGAACAAGAGCGGGCACCGACAAGACTTCGTCGAGCATTAACATTATCGTACAGCCAACATTGACCGATAAAGGAGAATAGACGTCCAAGGAAAAGAAACCGAAAGAAGCGAAAGTTTCTCAAAGACCCCGAGGCTCACACCAATACACCGCAATAGCCAGCCAATCCAACAAATAACTTCTCAAAATAATAAACGTTTCCCGCACCTGCAAGGAGCACAATGCCGAGTAGGTGACCGAGAAGATAAACAGCCAAACCTCTCCATGTGAACAAAGAAGGTGACTGGGCTCCCACGATTGTGTATATCGACCAAGGGCTGAACCAAGTGGTAAAGGCTACTGTCCTAAGAAAAAAGGATAAGCCAACACATTAACGGCCTCAAGCCGAGGCCACACCGCTTGACCAGTCTGCGGTTGTGGCACACCCTTTCTATGTTTCATATTTCATTCAAATCCAAATTGTACACTATTGTCGAGGCCCAAACCGGCAAGTTCCTCTCACATTAACCAAAAACATATTAAAAAGGGAAGGAAGAAGAGGAGAAGAAAATGACTGGTTGGAGGGTATCCCAAGCCATCTGCTTATTTGGTTTTCTTTGTCTCCTTGTGGCGCTTGTTCTCCACGATGCGATTCACGCGGTTGCCCACGTACTTGGTTCCGAGGAGGGTGTCCCAGAATGTGAAGAAGGGCTGTGCAAAGTTTGTCTTGATGCCCCAGTGTTGGTGATGGATGTCGTGGTAAGCAGCGTTATTGCTGGTAATTAGCTGAAGAGGGTCCCAGGGGAAAGAGTAACCGCAGTGGTCGTCAACGGTCTTGATTGTTGAGAAGCAGAAGAACAGAATGCCCTGGCGAAGAGTCATACCGGTGAGCTTGAAAGAGACTCCGGCGCCAAGGGTGTCAAGAAGGAAACCCTCAACTGGGTGGTTATACAGAGCACCGTATGCATAAGGAACATAGAGGCGGTGATGACGGGAGTGGAAATGAGCTGGACAAAGTCAGTACATCAGAAACGCAAATGAAGGGTTAGCTTTGCTCACTATACAACCACTTGTTGACATGCATCAAGCGGTGAAGGAAGTACTGCCAAGTATCGAGTGCGATAATGGCACAGATGAACTGGATACAGGGAATAAGGAAGTAGTAGATGAGCTTGGCGCCGGTCATTTCCCAATTGGCAAAAGCAGGGCCTTCTTCACCGGTGGTGAGAAAGGGGTAATGGCCTCCAGCAAGCGCGCCAGCGAGCAATGGGTGTGCAGGAGCCATATTCTTCGAAATGGCATCGGCATTGAGGCCGATCAAACCAAGGATCGAGGGGAGAGCTCGTTGCGCGAGACGTAGACGGGTAGCCCAGACGGCAACGTTGTGTTCATCCTTGCCGATCATCTCCATTGGTTCATAAATGGCAAGAATGTAGCCGGTGACAATTTGAATAATTTGCTGAACGACGACATCTCTAGCGACGTCAAATCGAGAGACATGGTTACGCTTTGTGATCTCCTCAGGGGTGTGAAGGCGGTACTCTGGGAAGAGGTCATTGACGTCAAAGAAGTGGAAGATCAGAGAGATGACCCAGTAGACCACAACTGGGGCGACGACGGAGAGCCAAACATCGGGAAGCCAGGAAATGAGATCTGGTTGGGGGATGAGGGTGTAGTCTGGTATAGGAGGCAGGCCGGCGTCGAGCACGGTGTTGTTTGCCATGATGCCGACGGCTGGAGAGGATTCGTTGATCATTATGGTGTGCCCAACCTAAATGTTGGCTCGGGAGGCCCGGGAAGTCAAGGTAGAAGCAAAGGCGCCGACGGTAGCGCCTAGTAGGTAAATATGAGAGAGAGAGCTCGGTTGGCAATTTCAAAAGGTGAAGAGAATGTCGGGGAGACTGAGGTCGGAAGAGGTCGAGGAGGCTGCGCAATTAAGAAGGGCAGCGTTTCGCGAAGAGAGATGCCGTCACGCGAGCGAAGGAAAATAAGGAGTGAATCGGGCGAGTCGGACGGGGGTCGCGGTACGGCAAAGGAATCAGCAGTTAGGGAATGAAATAGGATGCCGATGATGCGTCAGAATGGTAACGGAATCGGATTGAAGACGAACACCGCCATCCAGCGAGGAATCAAATTAGAAGTCCTAGGGGTGATGTTGGTTGGAGGTGAAGTGCTGCAGGGCGGCAGCACCTGATCGGTGATAATCTAATCATTTATGCGGGCATCTCGAACAGCAGTTGGCCCACTGCAGACCAGGCCTCAGCTCCCTGAAGGTGCTAGATACAGCCCAGCGCCCGGCGGCTATTGGCCACAGGCGGGCAGATCCCCACAGTTACACACAACCCGCCCTACCAACCCTGAAATTTGTGCCTGGATGCAATCTCGGGTTTCTCGGGAGGCGTGGCTTGCTCCTGGCGCTCCCCAAGTGATCGCGAGACAAAAACGCGTCATGTCCGTCCTGGGAGCGAACCACTTCTCACCGGCAGTCAGGCCACTCCCGACTCCGGCTGGGCAGATCGCGGCGTTCATGTAGGTATGGTCATTTTCTTAAGTGCTGCCACTGCCCGAGGCAATCCCCCACCCAGCAAGCCCCTTGCGCAGTTCATTTCGCATTTACCGCGAGCTCGGCACGTGGCGATTGGTGTGGTCTAAGGAGAGTCGCCACCTCTGCCCAATGCGCAAGCTAGTAATGGCACAGTGCTGCACTGGCTCGGTTTCGCGATGACCTGGAGCGAGCTACCAGATGGATCGTGAGAAGATATATCTGACTACGATCTTGAGTGACCATCTTTGGGAGGATCGCCGCCCCTTTCTCTCTGTATTCTGGATGTTCTGCTGCCTTATTCAACCTGCTCGCTACCCAGCATGCTTCGACCCGATTGCTTCCCCGGCCATTTCTTGGCGCATTATCTGTGAGTTCAGTAGAGGCTGTTTATCATACTTGACGCTTCAGCCGCTGGATCGTGGGTTGGGTCTCTATCGACTACCAACTAGGCTACTGTTGCTGGCCAGATGGCTCAACGGCAATGCGTATTTGGCTGCCAGTAAATCCCAGCAGGGATCGAGCCAGATGTTTTACCTACGCATACAGCCCCATTGCTTAAAGCATGCACTCCATTGGCAGCATTAACTCGCAGGTGAAGGTTTTTTCCGTCTTTCCATTTGAGCTCCCGCCGTGAATTTATGGATTACTTTCCACATCCAGACTAGCGTATGAAACCCCACCACTGAGCCCCTCCTCAAGTCGCTTCTGTTTTTTTTTTCTGGCTCTCAAAAACCGTCTGGCCCTTGGATCCTCCCCGCGCTCCTCCAACATCTGTCTTCCTCATCCACTTGCTTTCCCTCTACGAGTCCATTTGATCACCTCGTGCAACTAAACCGCCACCATGATTATTTACAAGGTACGATTGACAGAACCTTCCTCACGCCCACGCCCCTCACAGTCCTCGCCATACTCTCTATGTGGCTCTGCCCCGCCATGGCATTCTGGCTGACCCCGCAATTGTTCAATAGGATCTCATTACCGACGACGAGATCATCTCGGACTCGTACGACCTCAAGCTCATCGATGACATTGTCTACGAGGCCGACTGCGCCATGATCACTGAGGGTGCTGTCGAAGTTAGTATGTAGCATCCTCGAAACCCCGCTTTCCATCCAGGTGGATGATGTCCAATAAGCTGTTGCTGATACCTCTCTCCCTGGATAGACACTGGTGCCAACGCCTCCGCTGAGGAAGCCGACGAGGCCCTCGATGATGCCGAGGTCAAGGTCAACAACATCGTCCACTCTTTCCGTCTCCAGACCACTGCCTTCGACAAGAAGTCCTACCTCACCTATCTTAAGGGTACGTACAGTCGACCCCGACCTTACTCTGTAAATTCCATCCTCACACCAAGTATTAGGTTACATGAAGTCTGTCAAGACTGCTCTTCAGGAGAAGGGTGCCAGTGCCGACACTATTACCGCTTTCGAGAAGGGTGCCTCGAAGTACGTTAAGGAGAAGCTCCTCCCTAACTTCAAGGACTTCGAATTCTACGTTGGCGAGTCCCAGAACCCCGACGGAATGTAAGTTGCAGAAATGCCTTCCTCCCATGTTGCACCCCCAAATGTGTATGCTAACCAATACTTCAAGGGTCGTTCTCCTGAACTACCGTGAGGATGGTGTTACCCCTTATATCATTGTCTGGAAGCACGGACTTTCCGAGATGAAGGTCTAAGCCTGCATTTGGCTCTTCTGTGTAGATGATGGGTGGTAGCATCCGGGATGGGGACTGTGATTTACGAAGCCCAATACTTTTCTAGCGCTGGCATAGTATTGAAAAATAACCCAGATGGGGTGAAATGAGTGCAACGAATCGGGCAAAATGAAGAACAATGAATAAAAAAAGCCAACGCAAGCAGCACCCTGCGTGCCTTCAATTCAATGACCAATTTCCAGATCAAATCGGTGACACATTCACAAAGTAATGTAGGTGTAAACAAATCAAGGAACCCTTACGCCTTTAACTCCCTTGCCAATCTTAAGACTACCCATCTACTGTATCTGCAATTCCCAAATGCCACCATACAATCAAAACCGAGGTTTCGTCGCCAGGGGGATCGGTGGCGGCGCATCTCCATCATCAGCAGGAGATGCAGGTGCACGAGAAGGAACCGGCGCAGCCTCCGAGCCACCCCCCAATCCGACCTTCTTCTTTGGCGGAGGGGGCGGCGGAGGCTTCTTCTTCCCAGCAAGCCCCGGGGAAGGCGAGTCGGTTGCACGCTGCACGGGGCTCTGCGACGCCGCACCGAACCTTTGAGGCAGGGGCAAGGGCGCAGAAGCGGTGGGCCCGGGAGAAGGACTGTTCCGGCTGTTCATCTTGCTGAAGCGGTTCTGGAGCTCATTGAGCTGGTTGACGCTCCCGCTGGAGTCCTGGCGAGGAGGCGGGGGTGGAGGGCCTGGAGAGGCGGCAGATCGTCCTATGCCGAGGGCAGCTACCGAAACGCCAGCCGCGCCCAACCGGTTCACGGCATTTTGGTTCAGGTAGCCGTCCTCTGCCCCATGACTGCTGGCTCCCGAGGGCGTTACAGGAGGCGTGCCCACGTTCGTTCTTGCTGGTAGGCGCGGGGGGAGGCTTGGCTGCTGTGCGGGCTTAGGAGGCTGCTGAGGATGGGTCAGAGCGGTGTCGTAAGATGGCGGGCTCCTCCCATCAGCGCCGTCTCTCCGTCCCGGCGGTGGGGGTAGGTGATTAGTCGAAAGACCTGTCGTATTGACGCGGTAGGGACCTCTTGGGGCGGCCTCTCCCTCTTCCTCCTGTTGCTGGGCACTGCCCCCTCTTGGCGGAGGCGCCGGGTTCAGAGCTCTGGGGTCTTGATAGTTTGAGGGTGAGGTGACGACGCTGCGTTTTTCTTTGGTTGGGGGTGGCGGTGGTGCGAGGCCGGAGCTGGTTCGACGAGGAGGGGGAGCAAAGGCGGACGGGTCCTTGAGCTGGGAGAGGGGGACGGAGACGTGGTCGTTGGACGAGTCGCTGGACTTGTTGCGGTGAACCAGGTTGCTCTAGAGAAAATGGGCGGTTAGGGGCCGATAATTTTGTAATGTCACCGAAGAGAGACGTCTTTAACCCTGAGGGAGAGTGAATACGTACGACCTGGCCTCGCACGCCCTGACTGGGCTTATGGTCGTTGTTGCGGTGAACTAGGTTGCTCTAGAGAAACTGGGCGGTTAGATGGCCGATAAATTTTGTAATGTCACCAAAGAGAGATGTCTTTAACTCTGAGGGAGAGTGAATACGTACGACCTGGCCTCGCATCTTGCCCTGGCCGGGCTTATGGTCGTTCCATTTGCTCTTGGCCTTATCTGTATATTTCGACGCCATCGTCGAGGGCCTTCTTGCTCCAGGTCCACCGACCTGAGTCAGAACTGAGCGATTGGGCGGCTGCGAGTCGACAGACGATCCTCGGCGAGAAGCAGAGAGTTAGAGGTGCCCGGCACAGATGAAGACTTGGTTGAGGCTGAGTGTGAGCCCAAAGTAAACAAGGCGACCCAACAGAGATTGACGTAAAACGGGCAGTCCCTGGCGTCAGATCAAATGTGATGGATGTAGCTGGATGTACCTGTATCCACACAATAATCGGCGGGGCTTCGGGAGCCAACGCTGAATCCCGGCGCATGGCAAACCCCGGTTTATCAGCTAATGCAATCTTCAGTCCGTGTATTCTTCCGTATCAACGGCATCTGGGGACAGGGTTGATTGCCAGACTCGATTGCGTTTGTACACATCTGATTGATTCTATTCTTACCGTGGAAACCTTCGACTTAGATACTTATCACTCTCCACTGCCCTCAAGCACGAACCGCTGAGGCGCGTCGCCCTTGACTTGAGCGCGTCGCAGCCTCAACGGTCTCTCCATTCTCCCAATTGCACCACTACACACTCTTGCGACAATGGAGTCGCAGACGAATTCCGACTATGAGCTCCTAACAGAGCATCTGGGATACCCCCCGGTGGTATGTGATCAACCATTGCCCTCATTGTACGCTTCACTAGCCTAACCCCCGCCATAGTCCCTCCTCGACGACATCATCAACACCGTCAACGTTCTCGCCGACCGCGCCCTCGACTCCGTAGAACGCCTCCTCCTCTCCATCCCACCCCAGAACCTAGGATTCACAGCCCCGAAATCCGCCTCCTCCTCGAAGCCGCAGCCGCCCCCCGAGGAGGCCGCCAAGCTGGAGATCGAGACCGGCACCCACAAGCTCGAGACCCTCGTCACCGCCTCCATCGACCGCAACTTCGACAAGCTCGAGCTCTACGCCATGCAGAACATCCTCACCGTCCAGCCCCGCGAGCTGCACCCCTACGTGCGCCTCGCCCACTACGCCGGGCTCGAC